TCAGGTCGCCTCGCACGATGGAGCCTGAGACTTCAAGAATATGACATTACTGTCATTTACAAGTCCGGCAAAAAACACTCCGACGCCGACTGTCTCTCTCGTGCGCCTGTCGACCAACCGCTACCCGACGACCCGGATGACGACTACTTCTTAGGAACGATAACTACCGACGACTTCGCTGAACGACAGAGGGCCGACCCGGAACTTAAGGCCCTAATAGAATACCTCGAAGGCAGGACCGCCGAAGTCCCGAAGATATTCAAGCGCGCACTTGCGTCGTTCTTTCTACGAAACGGTCTTCTACAAAAGAAAAACTTTTCACCGCTTCGAGCTAAGTACCTTCTTGTGGTGCCTTCAGCTCTGCGACCAGAACTCCTGCAGGCCCTTCACGACGATCCGACGGCAGGGCACCTCGGTGTTTCTCGCACGCTCGCGAGGATACAAGAAAGGTACTACTGGCCACGTCTTACCACCGACGTCACTCGTTATGTGAGAACATGCCGGGACTGTCAGCGACGCAAGACACCGCCGACAAGGCCAGCGGGACTTCTGCAGCCAATTGATCCACCTTGCCGACCTTTCCAGCAGATTGGTATGGACCTACTGGGGCCGTTCCCGACGTCGGCTTTCGGAAACAAGTGGATCGTGGTAGCTACCGACTACCTCACCCGCTACGCCGAGACAAAAGCCCTGCCAAAAGGCAGTGCATCCGAAGTAGCTAAATTCTTCGTCGAAAATATCGTCCTACGTCATGGCGCCCCAGAGGTCCTTATCACCGACAGAGGAACGGCATTCACTGCCGACTTAACTCAAGCAATCTTGGCATACAGCCAAACAAACCACCGCCGGACGACAGCGTACCACCCACAGACCAACGGCCTCACCGAGCGGCTTAAGAAGACGATCGCCGACATGCTGTCAATGTACGTCGATGTCGAACACAAGACGTGGGACGCCATTCTTCCGTATGTGACCTTCGCATACAACACGGCGGTGCAGGAGACGACGCAGATATCGCCATACAAATTGGTCTACGGAAGGAGCCCGGCAACGACGCTCGATGCCATGTTACCCAACGTCACCGACGAAGAAAACCTCGATGTGAGCGAGTACCTTCAACGCGCCGAAGAAGCCCGACAACTTGCGCGTCTCCGTATCAAGAATCAACAGACGACCGACAGCCACCGTTACAACCTTCGACGACGCTTCGTGGAATACCAGCCCGGTGAACGTGTTTGGGTGTGGACGCCGATACGCCGACGTGGACTAAGTGAAAAGCTTCTGCGATGGTACTTCGGACCGTACAGGGTGGTTCGACGGCTCGGCCCACTTGATTACGAGGTTGTCCCCGACGGCATCACGAACTCTCAACGACGCCGATCGCGACCTGAAGTCGTCCATGTCGCGCGCCTCAAGCCGTTTCATGCGCGTTAACAAACTGAACTAGTGTTTTTTTTTTGTATTATTGTTGTATCGTAATTTATTCATTGTACTTTCTTGCATTATTATTGTACTTTCATCTTTAGTTAAAGCATCGGGACGATGCCTTTTTTCAGAGGGGGGCAATGCCACGTTCCATTTCCCAAGTTTTTGTTATCGTCCGAAAACACCGCACGATTCTCAGCGCAAACCGCGCCTGCAGTTTTCTAGAAGGTTCCGGACTGTAGTAGATCATTTCGATAAGATCACGCCCACTGTGCGAACGGTACAGATTGTTCTGGAAGCTACGCCACCGCCAGCGATAACGCTAGAACATTCGACGGCAAGAGTATAAATGCCGACGCGCTTCGCCGCTTGTCAGTTGTTGATCGAAGGCCGACGCTCCGTTCGCCGCTATCAGTCCGAGACTGCTATCTGTGCGAGACTGCTGCTGTAATTGGACTTTCAGTTTACCGGGCACAGGTTCGCCCAAATAAACAGTTAAATTCTAACACGAAGTCTCCTGTCTTCGGCCACGTCACGACCCCGTGACAATATGATGAATACATGATGAAAAGACGCGAGATGGCTGTACTTGGAGTGTTCACTACATAGACAGATGTACTGTCGAATGCACAGACAGACAGAGGGGCAGATGCACGGAGGGATGGATGGACGGACAGACAGAGGGACGACCGCACAGACGGACGGACGGGTGCATGGAGGGACGCACGGAAGGACAGTTGCACTGAGGGTCACACGGATAGACGGACGCATGGACGGACAGACTGACAAACACTTCGCCCCACCAATCATCATTCACTCCGTGGATATGCTGTGATTTTTTTTTTGAAGCTTTTGAATACGTGTGTTCGTGTGCTGCACAGGCGTAACTTGTCTAAAGCATTGTGTTTGAGAGGCACCACATGTGGTCCCTATGTCATGAAACATAACCGTGATATGAAAAATTTGGAGATCCCACTCACTTTGAGAGTCAACCTTATGTGAAGCATGCCGATGGAAGGTGACCATGTTGTAATTTTTTTGCTGAGGGACACGTTACAAAATGACACTCCATATATGTACAAATGTTGCACGCACAGACATATTTTGAACAGTCGCAGAAATTTATATAACTAGTTTGCACTTGGGCAATGATACTAATATATAACTAGTTTGCACTTGGGCAATGATACTAACAGCAACATCAGTATTAGCAACACCAGAAGCGATCAGCTAATATGAAGCGTTGGTACTCGCGAGAATGGTAGCCCTGGACACTGAACGTTTTATTTGGCTAGAATTTCATAAACAACATTAGATACACATTCAGCGTACTCATTATTGTGGTTGTTTATACACAAGTGATGCTCGTCTTGAATAATAATTGGCCGGAGGGGGAACGCTTGCACGGTCATTGGCACTTATTTCACATTTCCCGAAAAGAATGGAAGGGGTGCCTGCTCAGCATTTTATGGTATGATTATGAGACATGTTGTAGTGGAGGGCTCCAGAAATTTTGACCTCCCTAGGTTCTTTAACGTGCTTCTAAATCTAAGTGCATGGTCCTCAAACATTTTTGCCGCCCATCGAAAATGCGGCCATCACACCTGGGATTTGATCTGGTGACCTTCAGTTCAGCAGTTGACCATCGTGGCGAGTGAACATGAAAACAAAAGGACAACATAAGTGCTGAACGTTAACTTATACCCGTGACACACGGGCAAAAGTAAAGTACTTTGAAGTAAACCCCTTTTCTCGCCTAAGGGGACCATTTGCAGAAAGGAGTGGCGCTGATGACACACGACACCGAACTACTGCTTTAGGCGGTGCCTCAGAAGAACGCGTAGAAAAAATGGCGCTGTTTGTGGAAGCAGCAATATTGGAAATGTTAAAAAGAATCTGCGCGTGTACATCACATTCAGCGACGCCGGAGCATAAAATCGTTTTTTTTATTTTCTGGTGGCTCCTAATGTGCATACTTGTAATTTTCTTTCGCTTTTTTGCGTTTTTAGCAGCAACTTAAGTTCGTCTGGCAACTATGAACAGTCGGTGTTTTGCTGTTTTTGTTTTTTGTCGTGCTTCTTGCATGGCTGCGTCCAGTTGGGTCAGTGCGGCGTGCCGCGTTTCGTCGTGGTCCTGCGATGTCTCAGCGCAGAGACAGAGATAAAGCAACAGTTGAGGTGGGCCTGACTCTTGTCGCCCACACAGCAACTGCCGCTGCCAACCCTAACATGATCGCGCTAGTGACGTAATGCAGGCGTTTTAGAGTATGGACGGACTATAGGCCTTCACTTTTCAACAAGTCGCACTGCTGCTGAAAAAGGAAAAATTTTCTCAGCGCAAAAAAAAATACTGACAGGGCACCGCAGTGTTGCGACACGTTTTCTTCTATTGATAAATTATACACACTGTATGCGAGAGTACTCCCTTCCTGCCAGAAAAGTAGATGCGGGATCTGCTTTTGCGAAAAGGTTCTTGGCCGGAAAGGAGTTACTCTTTTGTCGTGTGTCACTGCGCCCTAACGCCTTTCCGAAAGATGTCCCCTTGTCTAAAGGACTTCAGGGTGCCCGTGTGTCAGGGGCATCAGCTGAAGTTCAATGCTTGTGTTGTCCTTTTGTTTTTGTGCTCATCATTTTACCCGGTGGGCGCTGCCACATGCTGAAAGAACTAGCTGAAAAGTACCTCTTAATCCCTTATGGTGCACTTGCTCCGGCACTCGCCATATGTCGTGAACCTTGTGTTTGCTCCAACCCTGTCCCATAAGAGAGCACATTCCTGCTATGTTACCACTTGCTCTGCTGAGTGTGTCGGGGCATAAGGTACAACATTTGGTGCTTTATGCATGTCTTCTTGGACACAAGTGTTCGCCACAAATGCTGCATTTATCTCAGTGGGGATGACATTCGAGGTGCTGTGCTGTAAGCACCCTTCATTCCTTCGTGTTGAATGTCCCCTCCAGCACTGCCATATGCCTCATATTTCAGCCATCCAGATCAGTGTAGGATCTTGAAGAACGAATGAAATGAAAGAGCATCGACCAAAATGAAAAGGTTTAAAATGTTAAAGACTGATGTTTCGGCTACCGCACTGTAGCCTTGTTCACAGTAAAATAGCCCAGCGAAGCAGGAATATGTCCATTTTAGAATGCTGCCAAAACACCTGGTATACCCTGGTGGCAGATTGCCATCGTTTTTTAGAGATGACTATTTTTGAAAGATGATTGCAATCATTTGTAAGACTGAAAGACCACATGAATGACATCAGGAAAAAGCATGTGTCATCCAATGCACTTTCTCAACATCTGGTTACATGTAATCTCAGCATTGACTGGGTGAAGGCAATGATAGTCACAAAGGGAAAAAATCTCGTGTTTGGGTGAATATCTCAAATATCTTCTTTTCCAGACTACGAAAAAAAAAAATGCTGAACAGAAATGATTGCAATCTGCCACCAGCATACACTGGGTGTCTCAGCAGCATTTATTAACAGACGTAAGTCCGCTCCGCTGGGCAGAGTCTTAGTTCTGTGACTCTAGTGTAATTCATGCACTAAATAATGTTTGTGTAAAATTTATGCAGGCATCACTGGCAGCCCAGTCACCTGGTGAGGATGGGTCAGGAACGGCCCAGAAATTCAAGTACAACTGGGATGAATCTGTCCACGACCCGGAACTGTTAGTGCGCTGCCGCAATGTGTGCGGTCACCTCCACAAGAATAAATTTGGCTCAGGTTAGTGAAATCATTCTGCTAAAAGGGCCCCGATCGTGCCACAGGTCAATAATAAAGTGTCCCCAGCCTGAACAAAAAGGTAATAGACATTTGCACTATTTCACATTTTGAAATGTGAGAAATCTGCTGCAGAGACAACACTTGACGACCTCAGTTGAATAGACATTTGCCCTATTTCACATCTTAAAATGTGAGAAATCTGCTGAGGAGACAACACTTCACGACCTCAGTTGAATAGACATTTGCACTATTTCACATCTTGAAATGTGAGAAATCTGCTGCGGAGACAACACTTGATGACCTCAGGTTGTCTAGACAACACCCTGCCCTGTATGAAAGGATGTCTTGTGGTCAATCTTAAGTGAATCTCTGGCGGTTCTAATCCAGTCTATTTGTTCGGCCATAGATCATCCTCATGTTGGCCCGAAGACAAAATTGTGGTATCTTTTTAGTATGTGCTCAGGTCAACCTCGGGACATCATTCAAAGCTCTTTAAAATGTATTCAAAGCTTTTATTATTATTTTATTATATTTACCTTAATGTATTTATATATTTATTATATTTACCTTATTACTATTATATTTATTTATTTATCTATATAGATATATTGAAAAGGGGTTTATTGGCGTGTGTTGCAACGGCGGCTCTACGATGAAAAACACGATCGGGACAGAGCAACGTTCTGGCATATGCTGGCTACGATCAGCACGAGGCGAGCAAGAGGAGCCCAGAACCCAGTACCCAAGCGGTGGTGGTGCTGCTTGCCAATGATGCATTTTCTTCTTCACAATATTTTATTTAACGAATATTATATTTATTTTATTATCACGTGTCTGCCACTGCCGTCCCACATCGTGTACGCTTCCTTAAGAACTCTTACCTACGTGCCGCAACATGCCTTCACATCTGCATCTTAACAGAGGCTTAAATGACTTGGATCGCCGCTCATCAAGTGCTAGTTTCCCATCCCTTCGCTGCCTCTCACCATCGCGTGCACGTTGACCAAGACCATAGAGGGAAACTAATCAGTGCAGTTTTGGAAGCAAAAACTGCAACTTTTACGCAATTCTCAAGGCCTCCATTTTCGCCGCAAAACATCGTTGATGTCAATGTTTAGGTAGTCGCCACACTAGTGCTTGTAGATACCGAGGCCGCTTGTGTGATGAACGCACACTTTCGTCGGAGACTCAAAAAAGTGACCACATCTCTCTGTGGCATGGTGCTGCCCACAGCTAGCGCGCAATGCATTCATCACTCAGCTGTGTGTAGGGCGCATGTCGTCATCCAAGACGTTGTGTACATCGTCGAATTTTCGTTCTACCATCTTCCTCTTGTGACCTCATCCTAGGTTGGGATTTCCTATCACGTCATGAAACTATCATCGATTGTGCATGTGCAGAAGTGTCTCTTGTGCCAACATGTGAATTTCTATCGCACAACCGTTCTTCTTTGCCCTGCAAACTGATCAATGATGACGACACCAACTTGCCTCTGGAAGCTTCAGTCCCTATCACCCTTTCATGTGCTGTTCAACTTGACCCCAAGGTGGTGTTTACGCCATCTCAAGTGTTTAATGAACGCATGGGCATCGTGCTCCCATTTGCCGTTCTCACAATTGTGTCTGTATCAACCATAATGCTGGTTATCAACTACTGCAACTACCCTATCGCCTTACTCTGTGGTGCAACTTTAGGATATGTGCAACCTGTCGACCATGTCATTGATCTTACTCGTCCTGATCACACCCCATGTTGTCACATTGCCACAATCACTCCTGCATCTCAGCCATAAAGTTTGTCAGCCAGCAACAACGTCATTGACGCAGACCTTCCCTTCTCTCATCACCGCCAGCTTGTGCTCTCCTTAACAAGTTTCTCTCTTCTTCCGACTTTCACCAACCTTCATTAGGCCGTGCCACGACTATCAGTTATGCTATTGACACTGGCTCACAACCGCCCTCTGATATGTCTGCTTGCCACCAGTAAGGGTATATCTGCATGGTTTCCTCCATGTGACGACCGTGCATTTAATAAGGTGAAAGCCTTAGATGCCTTAGTGAAAACTCATAAGGTCACCTTTACATTCACCTTAGATGAGTTAATGGCAAATACCAACTTTTGCATCTCAGTCAATGTACTGGTCATGCCCTGCCTGACCATGAGTGTCAGCAGGATTTTGTCTTGGGTACAAAACCGTCTTGCATCGTGGCTGGGGGAAAGCACAGGTGTAGCTTGTGTGGGGGAGGTGCTGGTGTGGCTTGAGGGGGTAAAATTGATTTGGCAAGAGTGAGACATCTGTGCATACTGCGCATTTTTGATACATTCTCATTCTCTTGCGCCAAGCTGCTCCAAAAGCATAAAAATCGTGAAAATTATACCGAACTGCTCGAAAACAGCCTCCAAAGCTAGAATTTTGATGTGAACCTCAGCTTCAGTGGAGAAAAAAAGGCTGATTTGACTAGTAAGACGCGTCAGTCGTGTTTTATTTTTATTGTATTTACTCGCGTATTCCTCGCACTCGCATAATTCTCGCACCCCCATCATCGCCCGAGAAAAATGCGATTTTTTTTCCCCTCGAGTAATTATCGCACCCCCGAAAACTCCCGCAATAATGTCGTCCGCTCGTTCCAACCACTGATAATGATAGTGCACTCTATCTGGCGCCATCTCTTGAGCACCAAGCGTACTATTGCACGAAGATTCAATCCAATCCAAGCCAAGCCAAAGTGGCCAGTGCGCATTGCGGCGTGTTTTGTATGTTGTGTCGGTAATCATGGCTCGTTATGGGGCGATACTGAAGCCACACGGCTGCTTCAAGTTGTAAGGGATAGATCATGCACTAAACAACGGCAACAGGGCCGCTGGTAGGCCCTTCGGAGCCTACGAGTTTTGTGTTCGCTACTGGTGACGGCAGCTGAAAGGCACCAAGGCGCGTTGAGTCTGCTGTGTGCCTAAAACTGGGATTGATGGTAAACTTTTTTTCTTCAGAAGGAAACTGCGGATGATTCTGTTAAATAGCCATCAGCCCAATACTGATGTCCTACGCTTACCTTTTGAGGGCTCCTGTTGAGCGGCGACCGCTACTGCTACGCCCGCAATGCCCACAAGCTTCGCGTATGGTATTCTAATTCTCGACTATTTTCTTCCACTTTTTGTGTCTCAAATAAATCTTGCCTTGTGTTGAACCTCTGCTTTTATTGTTGAGGTAAGCTCTAATTAGTACTTCTTAAAGCTTGCTGTAAGTTGCTGGCGTGAGAATCCCGATTTGCGGCCACTTCGTTTTTTTTTTCGCTCTCTGCGTTTTCGTCGAAAGTTTTCCCCGCGTAATTCTCGCACCCCCCAACTTTGCATCAGTTTTCTGGCAAAAAAGGTGTAGGCCCATGTGCTCAGATTTGGGTGCACGTTAAAGAACCCCAGGTGGTCAAAATTTCCGGAGCCCTCCACTACGGCGTCTCTCATAATCATATGGTGGTTTTGGGACGTTAAACCCCACATATCAATCAATCAAAAAAGGTGTGAGGATTATGCGAGCAAATACGGTACTTTGCACCTTTCTGGTCTTGAAGACTCCCATGCAAAAAGCTGCCATAATCTCTTCTAAGCTGTTATAAATATTGTTACGGAAAAGAAGAGAGATCATATCGACTAGGCTGTGGATTATATGTATTTGAAACCAGCGGTAATGGCGTGACCAGTTCACCAGCGATCGAGCGGAGGCCATCCTTCGTCTTCCTCGTCAGGCACACACGCACGTCGCCCCCTATAATCTTAATATGCATGCATGTAGCATAATCCCCGGCGGCAGAAGCGCCGTCTCGGCACATCTAAATTTCAACGTAACTAGGAGAGTGGTAGGGCTTCAAGCGCGCAACATGTACAATATCGGTAGCCTGTTGCGCACACGAAGGTGCCAGGACGACAGGACCAATTTCATATGTCATAGGAGTAACTACACAAAGGACTCGATATGGACCTGTGTAGCGAGTAAGCAGTTTTTCTGACAAGCCAACTTGACGGGTCGGAGACCAGAGTAGGACCAAAGAACCGAGCGGAAAGTGTACTTCGCAGTGTCGTTGGTCATACAAACGCCGTTGCTTTTCTTGAGAGGTGAGAAGGCGAGTGCGGGTGATTTCGCGTGCGTGAGCGGCACGAGTGATAGTGGCCATGGCATATTCACTGGTCGGTATCGCAGGGGACGGTACGACGGTGTCTAGAGGCAATGTTGGTTCTCGGCCAAGCAGCAGAAAAAATGGAGAGTAACCGGCAGTGCCATGACGCGAAGAATTATAGGCAAATGTGACGTACAGCGACGCAAGATCCCAGTCGGTGTGGTTGGTAGAAACATACTTAGCGAGCATGTCTGTAAGAGTTCGATTTAGACGCTCCGTGAGTCCATTGGTTTTCGGGTGGTATGACGTAGTTAGCATGTATCTCGTGTGCCAGGTCTGCAAGATGTTGGCTATGACCTTCGACAAAAAGGTGCGGCCAAGGTCTGTAAGCAGTGGCCGTGGGGCTCCGTGTTGCAAAATAACGTCCTTGAGAAGGAAGTCGGCAACATCTGTGGCGCGGCTTGTTGGAAGAGCTCGTGTGATGGCATAACGCGTGACGTAGTCGGTGGCCACAGCTATCCACTTGTTACCCGAGGAAGACAAAAGGAAAGGGCCAAGTAGGTCCAAGCCAACGCGGAAGAACGGTTCTGATAGAATGTCAAGTGGTTGAAGGCGTCCGACAGCAAGTGTCGATGGCGTTTTGCGGCGCTGACATTTCTCACAAGCCGCAACGTACCTTCTGACTGATATATAGTCGAGAGTTCGACGGAATGCCGTCTGGTCAGGTAAAGGCATTGTTGAAAAAACAGGTCACTGACCAATGTCAAATAAAAACAAAGACGTTTCGGGATCCGTACGGATCCCTTGTTCACAATGGGATGACGGCTGAGCAACAGGTTCTTATGTAACGTTGAGCGCATGACGCAAAGTCCGGGAGTACACGTGGTTTAG